AGTATATCCATCACACAGACACTGGTAATATATCCCGCACACAGACTTATTAATAAATCTCTCACACAAACCACTTGTTTAATATATCCCTCACACAGACACTGAGTTAATATATCTCCACTCAGACACTGTTAAATATATCCTCACACAGACCACTGTTATTATATCCTCTCAACAGACCAATGTTAATATACCCGCACATCAGACATGTTAATATACCCTCACACAGACACTGTTTAATATATCCCTCACACAGACACTGGTAATATATCCCTCAACACAGTCGACTGGTAATATAATTCCCTCACACAAGACACTGTTTAATATAATTCCACACACAGACACTGTCTATATATCCCTCCCACAGACACTGTTAATATATCGCTCACACAGACACGTGTTAATATATCCCTCACACAGTACACTGTTATATATCCTCACACAGACACGGTTAATATATCCCTCACACAGACACTGTAATATATCCCTCACCACCACTGTTAATATAGCCCTCACACAGACACTGTTAATCTATCCCGTCACACAGACACTGGTAATATATCCCCACACAGACACTGTTAATAAATCCCTCACACAGACATCTGGAATAATATCCCTCATCACAGACACTGTTTAATATATCCATCACACAGACACTGTAAATATCCCTAACACATACCACCTGTTAATATATCCCTCACACAGACACTGGAATTATTCCCTCACACAGACACTGTTAATATATCCCTCACACAGACCCGGTAATATATCCCTCACACAGACACGTTTATATCCCTCACCCAGACCACAGGTAATATATCCCTCACACAGACACTGTTAATATATCCCTCACACAGACACTGTTAATATATCCCACCCCCAACCCCCCAACCCCCCCCCCCCCCTCCCCCCCCGCCCCCCCCCCCCCCTCCCCCCTCACACAGACACTTTAATATATCCCTCACACAGACACCTGTTAATATATCCCTCACATACAGACATGGTAATATATCCCTCACACAGACACTGTTACTATATCCCTCACACAGACACTGTTATTATATCCCTCACACAGACACGGGTAACATATCCCTCACACAGACACTGGTAATATATCCCTCACACATAAGACACTTGGTAATATATCCCACACAACACTGTAATAATAATCCCTCACACAACACTGGTAATAATAATCCCTCACACAGACACTGGTAATAATCCCTCACACAGACGACTGGAAATATATCCCCTCACACAGACACTGGTAATATATTCCCTCACACAGACACTGGTAAATATCCCTCACACAGACACTGTAATATATCCCTCACAACAGACACTGGTAATATAGCCCTCACACAGACAGCTGGTAAAATATCCCTCACACAGACACTGGTAATATATGCCCTCACACAGACACTGGTAAAATATCCCTCACACAGACACTGGTAATATAGCCCTCACACAGACACGTAATGTTATCCCTCACACAACCTGTTAATATATCCCACACACAGACACTGTTAATATATCCCACACACAGACACTGTAAAATATCCCACCACACAGACACGGATAATATATCCCACAACAGACACTGGTAATATATCCCTCACACAGACCACAGGTAATAAATCCCTCACACAGACAGTTTCATTTTAAATGCTATGTCATAGCTCATTAAGAATATTAATTAGCACCTAGAAGGTAGGCAGGTACAGCAGGTTATAAGTCAATTATTGCCAGTGTCCACCCAAGGGAGTGTGGGTCTTAGTCGAAAAGCCCAAAAAAACGGAAAAAATCACTGTGGGTCAGCTGGGTCCGATGAACGCTGGAGAGTGCCATCTGTCATCTTTTTGCCGAGGATACTTGAATTACATCTGGGTCCCGTGGCTGGGTCCGTAGCGCACTTAACTCACACAATGGGGTCCAGGGTTTCGAATCCCCGGTACGGGTGGAAATATTGGGACGTGGGTTTTCACCTAAGACACCTCTGTTCCTTGTTTTCCCTAGCAGTGAAGTAGTACCTATGTGTTATCCACCTCCCAGCAACATAAGGGGGATTACCAAAAGACCCCCTGCTTTTCGACACCCTGGCTGTCTCTTAAGATCCCTGCAGTCTTTAAGTCCTGGCTGTCTTTAAGATCCTGGCTGTTTTCAACCCCCTGGCTGCTCTAAGATCCCTGGCTGTCTTTAAGATCCCTGGCTGTCTTCAACACCCTGGCTGTCTCTTAAGATCCCTGGCTGTCTTTAAGATCCCTGGCTGTCTTTAGATCCCTGCTGTCTTTAATATCCCCTGGCTGTCTTCAACACCCTTGCTGTCTCTTATGATCCCTGGCGGCTTTAAGATCCCTGGCTGTCATAAAGATCCCTGCTGTCTTTAAGATCCCTGCAGTCTTTAAGATCCCTGCTGTTTTTCAACACCCTGCTGTCTCTTTTAAGATCCCGCTGTCCCTTTAAGATCCCTGCTGTCTTTAATCCCTGGCTGTCTTCATGACATACCTGCTTCTCTTAAGATCGCCTGGCTGTCTTCAACAACCCTGGCTGTCTCTTAATATCCCGGCTGTCTTCAAGATCCTGGCTGTCTTAAGATCCCTGGCTTGTCCTTCAAGACCCCTGCTGTCTCAAGATTCCCTGGCCTTCTTCAATTCCTGTTTTTTGTTTTTGTTTTTTTTTTTTTGTTGTGTCTTTAAAATCTCTGACTGTGTTTTAAGATCCCTGCTGTCTTCAAGTTCCCTGCTGTGTTTAGATCTCTGCTTGTTTAAGATCCCTGCTGTCCTTCAAGACCATGGTTTAATTATCTTCATTCCCTAGCTGTGTTTAAGTCCCTGGCTGTCTTCAAGACCCCTGGCCTGTCTTTCAAGATCCCTGGCTATCTTCAAGTCCCTGGCGTGTTTAAGATCCCTGGCTGTGTTTAAGATCCCTGGCTGTCTCAAGTTCCCCTGGCTGTGTAAAGATCTCTGGCTGTGTTTAAGATCCCTGGCTGTCTTCAATCCCTGGCTATCTCAAGTTCCCTGGCTGTGTAATAAGATCCCTGTCTGTCTTCAGATCCCTGGCTGTCTTCAAATCCCTGGCTATCTTCAAGTCCCCTTGCTGAGTTTAAGATCTCGGCTGTTTTTAAGATCCCTGGCTGTCCTTCAAGATCCCTGGCTACTTCAAGTTCCCTGGCTGTGTTTTAAAGATCCCTGGCTGACTTCTAGATCTCCGTTGGCTGTCTTTAGATCTCGGGATGTGTTTAAGAATCCCTGGCTGTCTCAAGATCCCTGGCTGTCTTTAAGATCTCGTTGACTTAAGATCTATGGCTGTCTTCCAAGATCCCTGGCTTCTTCAAGAGCCCTGGCTGTCTTTAAGATCTTGGCTGTCTTCAAGATCCCTGCTGCTTCAAGATCCCTGGCTGTGTTTAAGTCTCTGGCTGTGTGTTAAGATCCTGGCTGTCTTCAAGATCCCTGGCTGTCTTCAAAGATCCCTGGCTGTCTTTAAGATCCCTGGCTGTCTTCAAGATCCCGGCTGTCTTCCAAATCTACTTGGCTGTCTTTAAGATCTCTGGCTGTGCTTCAAACCCCAGCTTCCCTTCAAGACCCCTGACAGTCCTTCAAAGATCCCGGCTGTCTTCAAGACCCCTACCGTCCTGCTGTCTTCAAGATCCTGCTGGTCTTCAAGATCCCTGCTGTCTCAAGATCCCTGGCTGTCTTCAAGATCCCTGGCTGTCTTCAAGATCCCTGCTGTCTTCAAGATCCACCTGGCTGTGCTCAAATCCCTGGCTGTCATCAAGACCCCTGGCTGTCTTCAAGATCCCTGGCTGTCTCAAGATCCCTGGCTGTCTTCAAGACCCTGGCTGTCTTCAAGATCCCTGCTGTCTTCAAGAGGAGCTATGACAGACACCTAAAGTCTAACACCTGACCAGCCGGGCCCTGTGTTCTTTACCTCGTTTTGCTTGCGTCGAGCAGTAACAGCCTGGTTGATCAGTCCCTGATCCCACCACCCGCCTGTCATGACCAGGCCCCGGGCGTGTGACCCCCGGAACACCTCCATGTAGAGGCAGTCTGAAAACCCCAGCGATCAGTCCTGAGAACCCCAGCTATCAGTCACACACACATTAGCCGACAATACAACTCTCTTCGTTATCTGATAGACGAGTATTTTTCCGATAATCTGATGCAAGGCACGCTGATCTGCTGATAACACTGTGTAACCATGTTATGATTGGCGCCACCATATAACCTCTCATATATATATAATATATAATGAATATATATATATATATAATATATAATATATATATATATATATATAATATATATTTATATATTATATATAGATAAATATATATGTGTGTGTGTGTGGGTGTTGTGTGTCGATCCGAATATGTAAAACATGAAATTTTGGCACAAATAGCAACACTCTTCTTGCCGAATAAGACAAGCGAAAATTTGTGTATGCAATAATTTCGCCAAAATCATTCTGAACCTAGCGGAAAAAAAATATATTATCACTTGTGTTTTGTTTAATATTTAAATTATTGAAACAAATCAAAATATTTTCAGTTGGATTATGCTAAAGAAATATCTTCCACATGTTATAATAAGGTCCAGGTAAGTTTTCTAAGGTTCTTTTGGTACAAAATTATTAATTTTTTGCATTAACATAATTGAAAAAATATATATACCATGTAAGTATATTATTAATTAGTTTTATTATTATTATTATTATTATTATTATTATAGTATTATTATTATTATTATTAATTGTAAATAAGTGTAATATACTAGTAGATTGAGAACAATAGCGAATGTAACTTTGCTGAGACTCACTTAACTTCTTCCCTGCGCTTACACCGAACATCCGAGTGCTGAGCGGGCAGCGGGCAGTGATCCTGCGCAGCAGAGAGCGCCGCAGGCCGCGCCATCCTTGCGGGATCCAGCAGCGGGAGGCGGAGCGGCAGCCCCAGGGTCCATGCTGGTGCGCTGTGTGGCGGCCTGCGTGCGGGTCCAGAGCTGCAGTTTACCGCAATGACCACGCTCAACAAGATCATTGATGCCGCAGTGGTTCACCGCATCGGCGACCTTGTTATTGTACCAGAGAACCATCTGCTGCCACCTGGGAGTGACAGGTGAGTCACAGGTGGTGCTGGGTCCTCCAGGCTCACACAGGTGGTGCTGGGTCCTCCAGGCTCACACAGGTAGTGCTGGGTCCTCCAGGATCACACAGGTGGTGCTGGGTCCTCCAGGCTCACACAGGTGGTGCTGGGTCCTCTAGGTTCACACAGGTGGTGCTGGGTCCTCCAGGCTCACACTAGTGGTGCTGGGTCCTCCAGCTCACACAGGTGGTGCTGGGTCCTCCAGCTCACACAGGGTGCCTGGATCCTCCAGGCTCACCAGGTGTGTTGGTCCACCAGGCTCACACAGGTGGTGCATGGGTCCTCCAGGCTCACACAGGTGGTGCTGGGTCCTCCAGGCTCACACAGGTGGTGCTGGGTCCTCCACGCTCACACAGTTTGTGCTGGGGTCCTCCAGCTCACACAGGTGTGCTGGATCCCCAGCTCACACAGGTGTGCTGGGTCCCTCCAGGCTCATACAGGTGGTTCTGGGTCCTCAGGTCACACAGTGGTGCTGGGTCCTCCAGGCTCGACACAAGGTGGAGCCTTTGGGTCCATCGCAAGGCTCACACAGGTGGTGCATGGTCCTCCCAGGCTCACACAGGTGTTTGGGTCCTCCAGGCCTCACACAGGTTGTGCTGGTCCGTCCAGGGCTCCCACACAAGTGCTGGGTCCTCCAGGCCAGCACAGGTGGGTGGGCTGGTCCTCGCAGGCTCACACAGGTGTGGTGCTGGTCCCTCCAGGTATCACGCACGTGGTGTGGTGGGTCCTCCAGCTCACACAGGTGGTTGTGGGTCCTCCAGGCTCACACAGGTGGTGCTGGGTCCTCCAGGCTCACACAGGTGGTGCTGGGTCCTCCAGGCTCACACAGGTGGTGCTGGGTCCTCCAGGCTCACACAGGTGGTGCTGGGTCCTCCAGGCTCACACAGGTGGTGCTGGGTCCTCCAGGCTCACACAGGTGGTGCTGGAGCCTCCAGAGCTCAACGGTTGTGCTGGTCCTCCAGCTCACACAGGTTCTGGGACCTCCACTCACACGTAGTTGGTGCTGGTCCTCTCAGGCTGCACAACATGTGGAGCTGGTCCTCCAGGCTCACACAGTGGTTCTGGGTCCTCCAGGCTCACACAAGTGGTGCTGGTCCTCCGCTCACAAGGTGGCTGGTCTCCAGGCTCACACAGGTGTGCTGGATCCTCAAGGCTCACATATGGGGGGGGGGGGGGGGTGGCGGGGTCCGCCAGGCCACACAGGTGGTTCTGGTTCCCCAGGCTCACAACAGTGTGCTGTCCTCCAGGCCTCACACAGTGGGTGCTGGATAGTTACCATTTTGTCCTAGCATCATGTCGATAGACACTGAGGCGTTGTAGGGGTGTGTGTGTGTGGTGAGGTTTGTGTGTGTGTGTGTGTGTGTGTGTGGTAGTGTGTGTGTGTGGTGTGCGTGTATGTGTACTGCACCTAACGGTGATGCAGGGGTCGGATTCATAGCTCCTGGCCCGCCTCTTCGCTGGTCTCTACTGTGTATTGAAGAGAGAAAAGTAGAGAGAGAGAGAAGAGAGAGAGAAGAGAGAGAGAGAGAGAGAGAGAGAGAGAGAGAGAGAGAGAGAGGGACACATGTCCTTACAGATTGCAATCTCTTAAGGTAACTAAGGTCATGAAAACTAACTGTAAGAGCGTGATAAGACAGGAGTGAAGGCTAGGAGGGTCCTGGATGGTAGAGGATTGGCTAGGAGGTTCATGTGGATGGGAGAGGAGGCTAGGAGGGGTCATGAGGAAGGAGAGGGAGGCTATGCGTGTCATGTGGATGGTAGAGGGAGGCTAGGAGGTCATGTGGATGGTAGAGGAGGATAGGAGGTCATGATGATGGTAGAGGGAGGTCTAGCTTGTCCTGAGGATGTAGAGGGAGGATAGGGGGTCATGTGGATGGAAGAGGGATCTGGAGGTCATGTGTATGGTAAGGGAGACCTAGGAGTGTCATGTGGATGGTAAGGGAGGCTAGAGGGTCATGTGTGATTGTAGAGGAGGCTAGGAGTGTCATGTTGATGGTTAGAGGGAGGCAAGAAGTGCATGTGGATGGTAGAGGGAGGCAGATGGTCATGTGGATGGTAGAAGGGAGGCTAGGATTTACATGTGGATGTAGAGGGAGGCTAGAGGTCAATGTGGATGGTTAGAGGGAGGCAAGGAGGGTTCATGTGGATGGTAGAGGGAGGCTAGGAGGGTCAATTGGAATGGTAGAGGGAGGCTAGGAGGGTTTCATGTGGATGAGAGGGAGGCTAGAGGGTCATGTGAATGGTAAGGGAGGCTAGGAGGTCATGGGATGGTAAGGGAGCTAGAGGGTCATGTGGATGTAGAGGAGGCTAGGAGTTCCTGTGGAAGGTAGAGGAGCTAGGAGGGTTCATGTGGGATGGTAGAGGGAGGTCTAGGAGGGTCATGGTTGATTGGTAAGGGAGGCAGGAGGTCATGTGGGAAGGTAGAGGGAGGCTAGGAGGGTCATGTGGATGGTAGAGGGAGGCTAGGAGGGTCATGTGGATGGTAGAGTAAGGCTAGGAGGGTCATGTGGATGGTAGAGGAGCAGGAGGGTCATGTGGATAGGTAGATGAAGGCTAGGAGGGTCATGTTGATGAAGGGAGGCGAGGAGGGTTCCATTGAATGGTAAGGGAAAGGCTAGGAGGTCATGTGATGGGAGAGAGGCTAGGAGGGTCCCATGTGGATGGTATAGTGAGGCTAGGAGTGTCTGTGGATGGGAATTGAGGCTAGAGGGTCATGTGGATGGTAGAGGGAGGCTAGGAGGGTCATGTGGATGGTAGAGTGAGGCTAGGAGGGTCATGTGGATGGTAGAGTGAGGCTAGGAGTGTCATGTGGATTTAGAGTGAGGCTAGAGGACATGTGGATGGTAAGGAGGGCTAGGAGGGTCAGTGATGGTAGAGAGAGGCCAGGAGGGTCCTTGTGGATGTACGTGAGGCTAGGAGGCATGTGGATGTTATGAGAGAGCTCGGAGGGTCCATGAGGATGGTAAGAGGTAGCCTAGAGGGGCATGTGAAGATAGAGGGAGGCTAGGATGTCATGTGGAGGGTAGAGGGAGGCTAGGAGGGGTCATGGGAAGTAGAGTGGAGGCAGAAGGGTCATGTGGATGGTAGAGGGAGGCTAGGAGTGTCATGTGGATGGTAGAGGGAGGCTAGGAGGGTCATGTGGATGGTAGAGGGAGGCTAGGAGGGTCATGTGGATGGTAGAGGGAGGCTAGGAGGGTCATGTGGATGGTAGAGGGAGGCTAGGAGGGTCATGTGATGTAAGTGAGGCAAGGAGGTGTCATGTGGATGTAGAGGATGGTTAGGAGAGTGCATTATGATGGTATAGGTGAGGTGAGGAGAGTCCATGAGGATGGTTAGAAGGAGGTTAGGAGAGTCATGTGGAAGGAAGAGGAGTTAGGAGATCATGTGATGGAGAGGGAGGTTAGGAGAGTCATGAGGATGGTAAGAGAGGTTATGAGAGTCCATGTGGATGGTAAGCGAGTAGTATAGGAGAGTCATGTGGGATGGTAGAGGGAGGTTAAGGAGAGTCATGTGATGGTAGAAGGGACGTTAGGGAGAGTCATGTGGATGGAAGAGGTAGGCTATGAGAGTCCATGAGATGGAAGAGGGAGGTAATGAGTAGTCATGTGGATTTTACAGGAGGTACGAGAGTCATGTGGATGGTAGAGGGGAGGTTAGGAGAGTCAGTAGGATGTAAAGGGAGGGCTCAGAGAGTCATGTGGATGGTAAGGAGGTTAGAAGGGGTTCCATGTGGATGGTAGAGTAGGCGGGAGAGGGTCATTGGATGGTAGAGGGAGGCTAGTATCATGTGGATGGTAGAGTGAGGCTAGGAGTCATGGTGGATGGTAGAGGGAGGTTAGGAGAGTCCAGTGAAGGTAGGGGGGTTAGGAGAGTCATGTGGATGAAAGGAGCTAGGAGATTCATGTGGATGGTAGAGGGGAGGCTAATAGCGCATGAGGATGTAAGGGAGGTTAGGAGAGTCATGTGTATGGTAGAGTGAGCTAGAGGGTCATGTGGATGGGTAAGGGAGGCTAGGAGGGTCATTGATGGTAAGTGAGGCTAGGAGGGTCAATGTTGATGGTAGAGGGAGGCTAGAGGTCCATGTGGGATGTACAGGGAGCTAGAGGGTCATGTGGATGGTAGAGGGAGGCTAGGAGGGTCATGTGGAAATGATAGAGGAAGGCTTAGGAGGGTCAAGTGGTGGTAGAGGGGAGGCCTAGGAGGTCATGCGGGATGTAGAGGGAGTAGGAATCATGTGGATGGTAGAGGGTAGCTAGGAGGGTCATGTGGATTAGAGGAAGGCTAGAGGGTCATGTGGATGGTAAGGAGCTAGTGAGGGTCATGTGGATGGAGAGGAGCTTGGAGGTCAGTGGATAGTAGAATTGAAGGCTAGGAGGGTCATGTGGAGTAGTAGAGGGCGGCTAGGAGGTCATGGGGATGGAAGAGGGAGGCTAGGAGGGTCATGTGATGTAGAGGGAGCTAGATTGTCCATGTGATGTAGAGTGAGGCTAGGAGGGTCATGTGATGGGTACGGGGGAGGCTAGGAGGGTCAGTGGATGGTAGAGTGGAGGCTAGGAGGGACATGTTGATGGTAGAGGGGGCTAGAGGGTCATGTGGAAGGTAGACTTAAGCTAGGAGGGTCATGAGATGTAGAGGAGGCTAGGAGGTCATGTGATGGTAAGGAAGCTGGAGGGTCATGTGATGGTAGAGGAAGGCTAGGAGTGTCATGCGAACAGGGACCGCAGGTGTAAGGTACTAACCCCCAGGTACCTACTTACTCTAGGGAACAGTGGACAGCAGTGTAAAGGTGACTAACACCCAGGATACCTACTTACTGCTAGTGTAACAGTGACAGCAGGTGTAAGGTGACTAACACCCAGGTACCTACTACTGCTAGGTGTACAGTGACAGCAGTGTAAGGTGACTAACACCCAGCACCTACTGTCCTGACTAGGGTGAACAGTGGACAGCAAGTGTAAGGGACTAACAAACCC